TACTTGTTGCACATGGTTTTCTGCAGAACACTATAGTTCTCATACCGTGGACCGCATGAAAAGTTGGGATTGCCCGTCAAGTTCATGATGATCGTGAATTCACCTCATACCATTAAATGCCTTCCCAACTTATGGCCGCGTTAAGGCACAAGTTTCTTTCCCAGGTCTTCCATGCACTTTGGCATAGGATGAAGGTGGCCTTTGTACTTGTTTGACGAACGTGAGCGGTTCGGGTGACCTGCAGCCGGTCGAATTATGTAGCAAGCTCTGTCTTAACCTCTCCTGTTGCTGTGTTATCATACGTGGTAGCACCTACGAGGCCTCACGGCCTCTTAAACCCAATAAGTTTAGCCACAATAGATTACTGGCTAGTTTCACCGAGCATAGCGAGCGATTGCTCTCCTTTTTTGACGTCATTATGAGGCAAAAGTGCCAAATGTTTTCCATTGCTGACTGACGATAAAATCTTACCGAACTACAGTAGGATTGTGGATGCTATTACACTACTCGGGTGCACATTTCTTCAGTCAGCAGCTCCCTGATCTCGCCGCATGACCTGAGCATCCTTTCGCTTAGCGATTTTCTAATTCCGGACTCATTCTGGCTAAGCGCTACCCCTAAATTCTCGTTTTCCCGCCAAGTTTCTGGTGGTTTGCTCTCTGATTTCCAATGGCTTTCTGATGACGTCTTCCAGTTTGGACATAAACTCCAAGCTGTCACTTGTGACACAAATTATTGAGTTTAATATCCCCAGCCTGTGTCAGGCCAGTGCAGGAGTCACGAGACCGGCCGTCACAAGTGGTACACTGTGTACTGACCTGACCAAGCTAGGGACAACCCTGTTTTTACACGCTGGCTGTCCAGCAACTGACGTCGCGAAAACAACGGGTATGACAAAACACAAAATGGCCCTCTTAAAATATGAAAAGGCGTCAACTCGGTGTTGAAAGGTTTTTGTTAAACTGGTTAAGGGTTTGGTGTCGCGGTAAAAATGAAAACTAATGCGAAATAGTGTTGAATTTTTTAAAATGAAGCCCGAAAGAAGGCTGTTATTGAGAACAAGACCTTTAATGTGTAACTGCTTATCAAAAGCTAAATTACTGAAACATGGCATGGTTACACTTCCATTGTATTTCCCGAGATCCATGCAACTCGTCAATAAAACCAACTCGCGACTGAAATAGTGCCTACAGCAAAGTTATGCTGGTGTTTCTACCCTTCTCTCCGAAGCCATGTGTAGCATGTAGTATTCTGCAGACCCGCCACTTTTGGTTCAGATTCAGGTTTGCTGTTTAGCGGTGATGGGCTGCGAGCCAATAGTAGTCCTTTTCCAGTAGATTTTTGTGCATGTTCAATCGCCTCTTGGATGAGCCAGTTGATGATACGGGAGTCGGTTCTGAAAGTTGATTACTCGATGCGAGAACCAGTATTCTGCGAAGACCGTGCTCTCTCCCTGCTTTCGCACCCTCCTACCATGTCCTCTGAGGTGCCCCAACCAAAATTTAATTCTTCCCGTCTGAAGGCGGGAAACGATCCGACGCGGGAAAACAGATGCGGTCCGGACAAGTTCTTGCGTTCTGCTGTATAGTTTCCGAAGTTTTGTGAGTCAGACAATCAAAGGTTGATCGAACAATATGAAAACACGATTCGTAGTAAATCGGCGATAAATGTGTAATAAACCTGTGGCACTCTCAAACAACAATAAGTTATACGATAACCGCAAAAATATCTCGTTAGTGCATTGGGCAACTATGCAGCCGAAACTACTTACTATGCAGCGAACATTGGTTGACCAAATACAATTGTCAAGTACCTGAGGGTCAATAGGAACATTCCGGACAAAATGGGATCAAAGCCTCCAACTACCAGAATAAAACCAATGAATAAACGTTTCTAGTAGACAGTCTAAGGATAACCAGTCAAATCACAGAGCAACCTTGAATTGAGCCCAAGCAAAAATGTCGGAAGCAGTGAAACAGTGCTGTTGTCAACAGCACAACATCAAACAGTCTCAAAATGAAGCACTCGTGATAAGTCCCAATCAAACAGGATAACTAATGAGTGCCATGTCAAAGAAGACAGATAAAATAATGATGAAAAAAAGATACTACACCGGATGGGCTCAAAGGCATGATATTCACCAGTATGACTTTTCCCTTGGGTTTCCAATGGAACATATGGCTTCAGCAACACGTCTCCATTTCACTCTCTCCTCTTTAGTCTTTTCAACCTGGCTGCACGACTGTCCACAAGCTTTAACTTCCTTCTCACACGATCTCCTCCACATCACCCTCGGATGCCAAACTCGCCCTTTCCCCCTTGGCTCCCACTCGAGGACCTGGCCTGGCGTGTGATGTCCCCGAGCAGTCTTCTCAGTGCATGCCCAATCCATCCCTACCTTCTTCATATTCATTGGGTGATAGGTTCTTGCTTCGTTGGTTCATTGCCAGCGAGCCAGAATCCCTTGTTGCTTATCATTTCTCGCCTTCTGATCCGATCTTCAGGATTGAGTGAGCGTAGGTGGCAGCTGTTAATGTGATGCATGTCTGCAGTTTGTTGGAAATGCCTCTCGTAACGCGTCAAGTTTCTGAACCGTATAGAAGCACCGAATTGAATGAATTAGTGTTGAAAATCCGGATCTTGTTCTTTATGCTGAGTGCAGCAGATCTCTACACTGGTTCCGGGTTAATGAAGGCCTATCTCGCCTTTCCGATCCTGGCTTTGAAGTCCTCGTCTGCGCCGCCACCTGTAGTTGAGACGGTGTTGCCTAGGTAGGTGAAAGAGGCTACTTCGCGTAGGTTTCTCCCGTTGGTGGTGATTGATGCTTGTCGTTGGCTGGGTATCTTCACCACCTCTGTATTCTCTACATTCACTTGAAGTCCCGTCTTCTCTGTCTCTCCCACCAACTTGTTAGATTTTGCCTGCAGATCTTCGAGTTTGTGCGACAAGACATTGGACACAAATCATCATCGTTGGTGGAATCCAAATCTTCTAGGGTCTTCCATCAGTCCAGCCAGCGTATGTCCCTCTCCTCGCTCCTCACAGTTTCTTGCGTTATCCTGCCCAGTCCAGTCAGCCGCAATCAGGAAGGTCATTGGTGATAGTAGGCGGCAAACTAGTCTTACTCCTTTCTTCACTTCAAGGGCATCACTGAGCATTGCATTGTGGACCACTTGGCATGTAGCATCCTCATATAGCATATAGCTGTTGAATGAGTTTGATAAGGCTTTGTGGCACTGAAACCGTGGTGTTGAAGCAGTTTCCAAATCACTCCTTGATCAACGATATTGAAGGCCCTTTCAAAGTCAATGAAATTGAGGTAGGATAAATAGTTGACTGGCATTCTACCCTCTGTTCTGTGATGATGCGTAGCGTTGCAATTTGGTCCGCACCTGATAACCGAATTCTTCGAATACGAGTTTAGATATGAGCATTAACACTGATAGACGGGTGTGGTGTTGTATTTGGAACAACAATGTGATTTTGATTCGCCGGCGCCGATGCTCAGGCTCCTTTAAAGGTTTTTTTAACTGAAGCGCTGGAGTTCTGATTTGTATTCTACCATCAACTGCATTTGAAATTCCTGCTACGAGTTTTGAAACATTTTGTCCGAACTACCAGAAGTTCTTCTTATGGAGAGTATTCTGGCAGCACATCAAACGCACTGAGTTGGCTCCAAGCCAGAATGCGGGTATTTTTTGTCGTGAGTAATTGGTGTGATGTAAGAATCCTGATGTCCTCAAGAAGACATGTATGAATGGCAAGTGTCACATATTTACTCGTTATTCCTTTCACAATCGATGGCTGTTAATGGGTACTTCTCGCTTACGAAAGGGTGCAGGGATCCTGGAGATAATCCAGAGAAACTTTGAGGTACCAGTTACCTGACTTGGAAAGTGTTCACCAGGTGTTTCACCTGACGCTGCCCATTCTTATCATTTTGCGGGGGGGGGGGTCTGTGGATCTATAACTGACTTCGTCGCTCTATCTGAGCACATCGTGTTAGTAGATATGCTGTGAATATTTCTGAATATGCATGACACTAAGAGAGTGCCATTGTAGAATTCTTTGGCTGCCGCTGGAGATGAGCTGGATACATGATAACCGTGGTTTCTTTTACAGTCCCAATCACATGCAAGTGAATTTTAATGATGTGGTGTGATGGTCGTCTTAGAAGGTTTGAGCCTACGAATGATGGTGGCTGATGTTGAATTCCCTACAGCGGAGGTTACAAGTCTTTTCAGATACCTCAAAGCAAAAGTAGTCATTGGTTCACCAATCCTTTCCAGAGAAAGCAGGATAAGTGCGATATGTCACTTGCTTACGCTGAAAAGCTTTTAATATCAGAGCTCGCTCATCGATCTCGTATCTTCTTTTCCCATTCCTAGCCCCCCTCTCCAAAACTCCTCAATATCCCGTTTTCGCTCTGATTTTACTTATTTACCCCTTCTTTCATCACAGCCACATTTGGTTTTCTGTTACATGCCTCACTCAGACTCATCTTTACTTACTTTCCAAAACCCATACGAAGGTAGTTATCAGAAAATTCTTGTGTCACATAAGTTAGTCTATGACTCCCTCAGCTACTTGTATTATTTGCCAGCAAAACGCCTTGGTATAACCCTGAAAAATCAGTTTTCTTCAGACGTGATGCAGGATGAATATAGAAAAACACTGTCCTACTGACAAAAGAAGCTGGCATCATTTTCAAAGGTATAATGGTAGTGTGCACAGTTTTAAAATAACAATGCTGTTGTGGTTTAATGATATTTCTGGATTGGCTGCGAAGCACACCTCGAGTCCTACGGTACCTATGGGCTGTACACGAGAAGCTTTCCCCAGATTAGATGCAGTAATACTACCTTGAGACCAGATTAATTAATGATCGTATCTCTATCCTTTCAGGTTCTTTAGAACCCGTGAGATGATTGTGACCACTCCAATAAGATAGACGTAGAACCCAGGGAATCGCCGTTCACTAATACTACAACACGAAGTTTAAAGCGCTATCTTTGAATGGCAGCGGATCGCTTTAGAGACGGAGGGATAGCAGGTGACTTGTTATGAGGCCAGAGGTACTGTCACTCGGTGTAACCTTGGATACAGTTCTAGCTGTTGACTAGTAAGCGTTGTTCTTTTGAAAAATCTACCATAATTTATGTTGCAGTGGTTGGAAGGGTCTCATCGCTCTGAGCAGTTTTACAAACATACTCATAGTTGATCCCTATTCTTGTAAAGTAACAAACTACCACTCATTTACTTGAATTCATTTCAGTCAGTACAGTCACTACAGGGTCATCGTGCCAATGTGGTGAATGTTTTGTGGGCTCCTGAAAACTATTATCACGATGACAAGAATCCTTTTCAGTTAAGGCTGGCTAGTTTTGACTCTTCTGGAGTAATAGTTGTTTGGGATGCTTATACTGCTTCTGTCTTGTCGGAGTTTCGAGAACCAGATTCACTAGTATTGGGTTAGTTAACGCATGCTATTTCGAATTACAGATACTTTGTGGTTACCAAATCAATGGGTATCACATGACTTGTTGGCTGCTCTTCATTCTCGTGGTATCTTTGTCATTTGGAACACCCAAACCCAAACACAACTATGGAAGTATTGCTTTAGTGACTCCATCGTCTCCTTTTCTTTGGATTCATTCGCTGCTTTAAGGATAATTTGTAATTTACTTTTCATTACTTCATCACATTTTTCCAGTCTGTTCAAGAGAACATTACGTGATCGAAAAGTTTTCTGTTACCGTGTGTAACTTTGGTAAAGGCAAAAGACTCAGCATCCTCGAGACTGGTTTGCTTTCTTACTATTTTTACCTTTTCAGTTGAAGGTGGAGATAAGATTTTGGGTAGTGAAACCAACGGACATGAAACGGGATCCGGAGTAGCAGCTGTAAAATCAGTCCTCAGCGGATTGGTGTACGGTATGGGAACTCACGAAAGGTACTGAAGATTTTATCTTCATTGGTTGGCATTTTCAGATTAATTCCCCTAGTTACTGGATATCTAGGTATATATATATATATATATATATATATATATATATATATATATATATATATATATATATATATACTGGTCTAAAAATATCAGTTTGAGGATATATTCGTGTACTTCAAGAGCAATATAGGTTACTAAATTGGTTTGTTAAGTGTCTGACTATCTCACTGCTCACGACTATTGGAACTTTACGTGTGTATTTTCGTTTAATCGACACGAAAATGTTCCATGCAACTGCGTTTATATACCTTTGGATTTTGTGTATTCGAAAGATGGTTCGATAAAACGGTCGACTCACAGGAAACCCACTTAAACAACAGTATTTACGTCCTCCTAACTTTTGTCGAATAATATAAGCGAGGCTTGATAAAGTACCTATTCCAAAGGATCCAGCTTATTTGTGTGTAAGACTCAATGGATGGCCCTGAGATACTAATTGAAACATTAATGGAAAACGGATATTCATTGGGGTTCACTAGCTGTTGAAGGAAGCAGTTAGTGTTGAAACCACTTTGTATTCTGTTTCTGGAAACGCGTTTATATCACGCGACCACATAGCGTAATTTTAAAACGAAGGCTAAGGTTTTTCATCAGTAAAACATAAATATGCAGCTAAGCTTATTGTTTTTGAGAAAGCCAAACATGTTGCAGCACAGACCTAATCACTGTATAAACGATTGCTTCGCATCCCACTATGTACCAGTTTAAATATGTGGACACATGTAAAGGAAGGACTAATCGAGATATGCACTTGAGCGTGGTGGAACTTGTACCAAAACGGCTACAAAAGTAGCTGGATTCACAAACCGATAAGCGCAGGTGGCAGACAACAATCATCCATTGCAAAACATTATTGATAAAGGTCACAGGGTTGATATTAAAACACCTTTTACAGTATTGTATAGAAACTGTCAGGGGCGAGTGGGTAGCGTTAGCCATACACAAGTGTAAGCCCCATTGTGTTCAGAAACAGTTTATCCTTACACTAAGCACACCCTGGTAATATTTATCTTATCTTGTTATCAGGGTTGAGTTCGAAGATTATCATTCTCTCTTCATTACCTTATTATTAAATTCCTTATCGTTACACTTGTCCTTTACCATTTCTGCTTTTCATGTAAAATGCCTTAATAATAAAATGTATTGTCGATATTCGGTAAAGTCGTGTTAGTTCTTCAGGCGTCATTTCGTGTGTACGATCCAAACTCTTGCGGTAACTGATGACACTTTATCACTCAAATTCGCTAGTTTGCTTTCACAGTCTCTGCCAGAGAAGTCTTATTCGCTGCCTTCATGGGTCGGCGAGTATTTTCACAAAAGCGAAGGGGCGTAAGTGAATGTCCATGGTATATCACCAGATAGGTGAATACTGAGGGCTCACCTAGGGGAGTCGGAAAACCCTGATTCGAAACCAATGGTGCACGTAGGCTTCTGGTTCTAAATGGAACAAATGGCGTATGAATGTATTTTAGTCACTGGCAACCATGGGAATGTAGCTTTTGATGCTGCTCCACTGCCTTATGGAAGTGAGGTTCGAAAAGTAGTTTATAGCACTTAAACGCCGCAGCATCTAATACTACCCCGTGGTATTCAAAGATAGAGGCGAATTGTAGTTTGGGAGCTGTTGAATAGAGTATGACAGTGTTAATCTTTCTGGAAATAAATGATTATGGGGGTTTGACTTTAAAGGAAGTACGGAGCAGGTATATACTGCTAATCAGACTTCTATGCTCGAACTCACGCAGTTGTGCAACGATCTATGGGGAGTCGTCATTTGAACTGATGACCACCAGTGTTGTTCAACACAGGTACCCTGTGTCACGGTTTTTGTTTAACTTGGTTTAGACGTTTTGATGAGTTTAATTCTAAGTACTTTCGATCTCTCAGCAGTTAACCTACTTCTCGGAGGGCACTTGGTTGGCTTGGAGTACGCAAATGCCATTTTCCTGTTGTGCGAAAACCTTGAAAAATACAATCTTTTCATCACCCTGAGCATATTTGACTTGCGTTTTGAATCTATCAAATGTAAGATGATACCTTAAGATTGGTCTGCATCAACTATTCGTTTAAGGACTGAAATCAAAGTCGTGTAACATGTTGGCCACTTCACTTAATATGGAGTTGCATCAGCAGGAGTGGATTGGTTGGTGAAATCTGCGCTTGAGTACGAGAGGCACTTCTGGCATCTACCAACCTACACCATCACTGGCGCTAGGGTAGTACTCGACTGCCTGTCAGAGAACTGTGTCGCACAGCGGTCCGCTCTGTCCTGTTATATGACTGTGAGGGATGAACCTCAAAAGAAGGGGATCTGAAGGGTTTACACGTTTTTCGCATCATCTCCGTTTGGTGGGACCATCATGTGAGTGGTGTCGAGGTCAGGTAGAGAGTACTAGGCAAAGAAGGCAAGCCGGTCGGTTAGGCTGTATACTTTCACTGACTGAGGTGACTTGGACATGTGTTGTGCATGCTCAGCCTTTGCCTAACTCGACGTGTATTGTTTGCAGAAGTAAGATTGGGTTGTAAGAGGGTAAAGGGTGACCAGACTAAGACGTCGCATTAATCCACAAAGCGATGATAGTTTAGCGCTTTTTGAGCTTTGGTAGTTTGTTGTGGACGTTTCGTCACCAGGCTTGATGACACCCTCAGCACTAACTTCATAAAGAAGTGGAACATATTTGCAGGTTACACGAATGTTTAGGTAGTGTTTTGCTAACTTGGAGTGTTGTGCTATCGTAAGTAGGGAGAAGCTCTACCGATAGCTGCTACCTTGGCGTGGTGGTCGGGCTTGCATATCACTATGACCCAACGAGCTATGCTGGTGGAACACTTATTCTCTCGAAGTTCTACTATACCAGAAAGGTCTGTTGGATAGTGGTTAGACGAAAAGCAGTTACCGTTGGGGTGTAAATTACTACACTATGATGGGGGCAGGTCTGAGGGCGAAGTCATACTGCTGCTAGCTGGATGGGGTGTGACAGCAGTGAGGTACTTCCCTTGGACGGCCAGCAGTGCCATGCTGATGCTGCCTTCTCAGTGGAAGGCGAAGCGGGGGTTAGAAAAGGTCGAGCCCAAAAATAACACTCCACCATACCCCACGGTCTGCCGGGCCAGCGGTGTTAGTTCATTTGTCGTTTCTTTTCGACCATCCAGCCCAAAAGTTCAAAATAATCATACACAAAAGGCTGCGTGTGATGCCCGATGGGCTCTGTGGTCACACAAATTTCTTTCAGGTATCCTAATAAGAAATAGCCTACCACGGTGTTGGCAGCCGGGAAGTGTCAACCGCCCTCACAACTTTATCAAGTTTCCTCAGACTGCTATCCACCTCCCCATCATTACCTTCTAATCTTCCTTCACATTTCTCAACTAACGATACTACATCATCTTCGATTTCTCGTAGCTCTGCAGCCTTCGACAACGATCTGAGTCCACAAAACAGCATCCTTGGTCTCCTTAAACCACTCTCCAAATTACATATTGGAGCCTTCAATGTCCGTACCCTCCGTCAAATTGGTCAACAGGCTTCGTTGGCAAAGACTGTAGCAACTCGGGGCATGGATATGTGCTGCGTTTGTGAGACACGCATACAGGAGCCAAGTGGGGTTATCTACCTGATCTCTCCCGATCAATCTGGTATGTCCACGAAATTCACCATTCTAGTTTCTGGAGATTGGATAGCTAGCTCTCACGGTCTTGCAGGTGTAGGCATAGCATTAAGCACTATGGCAGAAAACTCACTACTAGACTGGATCCTAGTTGATAGTCGCCTCTGCTCTATGCGGCTGAACGGCACAGTGAGAACTAAAAGGAATAGTGAGACTCGCCGTTGTCTCTTTGTAATCTCTGCTTACTCACCCACTGACTAGTTCAGATGAAGTGAAGGACGAGTTCTACCGTAAACTATCTAGTCTCTTCTCGAAAGCCAAACGTTCAGACGTTGTGGTTGTTGCAGGTGACTTCAATGCACATGTGGGTAGACTGAGTGAGGCAGAAAGGTACTTAGGTGGCACTTTCGGAGTCCTGGCTGAACGTACAGATAACATTGATTGCCTACTACAACTATGCTCAGATAACCGCCTATGTTTAGCTAGCACAAATTTCAGACATAAAGAAAGACACTGTCTGACGTGGTGTCCACCAAGCTCAACTCAGCGATGGACACAGATGGACCACATTGCTGTTAGTCATCGCTAGAGGGGATCGGTGGAAGACTGCTGCTCCTTCTGGAGTATGTAATTGGGTAACTACCACGCGTTTATCCGAGCGCGTATATGCCTGCGTCTCAATGGACGTAAGAAACATTTGGCAACAAAACCACTACGAGGGCTTCTGGACAACGGAAACACCAAAGCCGTGTTGAGTGAGAAGTTGACTAGACAGTTATCGGAACAAAAGACTGTCACCCATCCAGAAGAAGCTTGGTGTCATCTTCAGTCTGCTGTAAAAGCAGTGCTGAAGACCTTAGCCGACTCCAAAATAGTGGCTAAAAAGGGCCAGTGGATATGAGCAGCTTCTCTCGAACTAATGGATGCAGGTGAACGCATTCGTGCAGGCTCTGAGTACAATGAAGAGGGAGCTCAACTAAAAAGTAGATTGAGAAGAAGTCTACACAACGACTGCGAACAGTGGTGTGCAGCGAAGGCTAACGAGATGGAAAAGGCAGCGGTGATTGGTACCGATAGACAGTTATTTAGACTTATTAAGGAAACTGGGGGAAAAGGTCAACAACAGTTAGTGAGGCTATGGCAGAGAAGGATGTATCTGTGATTCACTCGCAGGGGAGACGACTGGAATGATGGGCAGAACACTTCGAGGGGTGGTTTAACTGGCCTCCAGCCAACATTACGTTGCCCGCTATCCGGTCCGATCCTGAATGAAACATTGAGATAGGCCCCCCATCACTAGCAGAAGTCAAGAAAGCAGTAGGCAACCTGAAACGA